GTTGCCGTCCCAACGGGAGACGCCGAGCCGGCGGCATGGTTAGGAGAGGGGACGCTACGGCCGCCGAACATCTGCACGCGCGGCGACCCGGCGGCTCCCGCCGAGCGCGGGGTGCCGCGAGGCACGCCGGCGCCGATACCGGGGCCGCTATTGGCTGCATGCCCCCCCGTGCGCGTGAGAGGCTGCGCCCCGCTGTTGAACAGGCCGGAGAAGTTCATATTTTCGAGGCCCTCCATCTTCGGGACCCCGCTGGGAATTTCCTCCCCTTCCAGGATCCCGTCCATCAGCCCGGAGAAGTTGTCCATCAGCAGCGCCTCCTCCAGCTCCTGCAGGTCTTCCGGCGAGACGCGGTTCCCGGCCCCGCCGGCAGCTCCGGCGGCGCCTGGGCCTGAGCCGACGCCGCCCGCCGCGGAAGGGACGCAGCCCAGGTCTCCGGCCGGCGCGGCGTACCCCGGGCCGCCGTACGGCACCGCCTCGTCGTCGTCATCGTCGTCGAACTCCAAGAGGTGCGACGTGTCCAGGCTCTCGATGTCCGTCGAGGCCACCGACGACGTGATCGAGAGGCGCTCCTTCGGTCGGGGCCGATGACCCCCCGCCGGCGAGGGCTGACGCTGTCCCATACCGTGAGGATATCCCGCGCCGCCACCGCTCGGGGTACCCGCCGCTCCCGAGGGCCGGAAGGCGAACGACGGGGGCTGCTGCAGCACCACGCCGGTCGCCCTGGTTGCCGCCGCCGCCGTGCCGTTCACACCGCTGCCGCCGCCCGCCGCCGCCGGCGAGTACCTCCCCGACAGCGAGCCTCCTCCGGGGGAGAACGGGCCCTCGCCCGGACCGGGGCTGCTACCGGCCACGAGGGTGGCGCAGCTGCTCGCGGGGCTGTCGAGGAGGGCGTCGTGCGAGAAGCCCTCGCCGTTCGCGCGCGCCCGCGCGCGCGAGGCCTCGACGCTCGCGGACACCGGAGTGCTGCCCTGCGAGCGCGCCCCGTACTGGTGGTGGTGGTGTTGTTGTTGTTGCTGCTGGTGATGCTGCTGTGAACCGCTGTTGCTGCTGTTGTGGCCCCAGCCGTGGTGGGCGTAGTCCTCGGCGCTGCTGCCGTGGGCGCTGTTGCCGAGGCTGCTCAGCGCCGGCGACACGCTCGTCGTGTCCGAGGTCGACGACTCCGGGTGTTGGACGCTGCCGTACGCGTGCTCGATGTTCGCCGCGTACTCCTCGTTGGAGGTCGCGATCGCGTCGACGATGGCCGGGGGCCGGATCTGGCGCCGAGACGCGCCTCCGCTAGATCGGGCGCTGGCCGAACTCGAACTGGAACCCGAGGCAGCAGCACCAGCAGCAGCATCAGCGCCCGTCTTCACCACCGGTTTTATCGCGGTATCCCTGGCGGACGGCGGCTGCGACGGCGGTTGCGACGGCGGCTGATGCGCCGTACCGTTGCTGGCCTGGACGCAAGCCGGCAGGGAGCCATCCCGCTGGACGGTAGCGATGAGGTCCACGAGAGGCTTCCCCTTGACCCGCTTGCGCTTCGTGATGGTCTTGAGCGCGTCGCTGAGCTTGGACATCAGCTCCGGGTTGCCGAAAATATCGTCTTCCGAGACGTTTGCCGTGTCCGCCAGGTAGAGGGCATTGCGCACGTTAGGATCGACGCCCGCCGCCGCGCCTCGAGTGATGAGCTGCTTCTTTTTCTCAGCGTCCTCCAGGGCCTTGCAATACCTGATTACCCGACACCCGAAAAGCCGACGCACGGAATATTTTCCCGGATTTTCGTTGAAAGGAAGACGGGAGACGAGGGCGGGGGGGTTACAAGCACGTCCAGGACTGCGGTCTCGTCTACGTTTGACGCGCAAGAGAGAGAACATGGAATTCTGGAGCTCGAACAGGCTGCAGTTCGACATCAACACTGATTCTCCTGCCAGCAACACAGCAGTCCGCTCGCGCACGAAACTGCTGTCCAATTGTCCAATAGCTTGCGTGAGTCTTCCACTCTGTGCTGTTGGCGTCTCTGGTTGCTGTGTGGAGCGAGCGACACACGGGTTTTCGAAGCCAGAACATGCACAGCGCAGAGCAACACGAGTGCGCTTCAGCACATCAAGGCCATTTCCTCCCGGAGATAATTCATCTACGAAAGTGCCAAGTGTATCGAAGGGGTTAAGTGGTACTTTTTAGAGCTAGTGGCAGGCAACCGGTCGACAAAATACCCCGTCGTTCTAAAAGCATGAATTCAAGTCTTCACTGCGGGTTGATACTGCTGGATGCTGGACATTTTGAAGGCTGTTCCAAGCCGACACATGTCACGTGTGAGAATAAATCTTATTGACAAGTGGTACCTGCGGGTACACCAACACCTCAACAGAAATGGAAAACTAAAAATAGCACCCGAGCAAATTTCCACTTCCCATGAACGACAAAGATGCAGCCGAAAGCCCTCCGCGATAGTTGCGTTACGAAAACGGAAACGAGAAAGCGTTGGTGTTGACGTCGAGGAACCTCAACGACGGACGATCGCACCCGGGTGCAACGCTGCCGCGCTGCCTCAATGCATGTCGCGTTGCTCCTATTGATCGACCCCCCAGATGAGAACGCTGACCCCTCGACAAAGAGCCGGTTTATCTAGGCATCTGAGAATCTAGGCAGGGCCGCAAGATACCTAATCACAGAATACAGAGAGCGCCTGCGGCAGTTTCCCGCCTCGCCAGGAGCAGATGGTTCCAAAATCTATCCCCCGACGCAGTCTATACATATGCACGCATCATGAGATCCCGGGCTGTAGATAACAGGTGCAAAGGCGGCGGCCCAAAAACTCTTCTGTGTGCAACAACGCCCCGCATCCCCGATACTGCCTGCAAGTCTCTTTACCTAACCAGCAGCGTGTTACTGCTTCACGAATGTTGAGGAGCAAAAAAGGGTGGTGGAATAACGTGCTATTGTGGTTGGTGAGGCAGACATCGTACATTGAAATACAGATGTAGCACTGCTGCTCTGTGCTCTCTCACTTTCGTAATTACCCGCCAAAGCCCGCTAAATAGTTGCTCAGCAACAGCGAGAAAGGCAGGAAAAAGAGGGTCTTTTTTCACCAGACCGTAGACGACAAACAATGGACAGACCACAACAAGAGGAGAGAGAAAAAAAAAACACAGGACACCGCACCGCACACTAAAGAAAAACGCACCTGGCTCGATCTGCCTCGGTCCTTGCACCCTCGAGCTGGTCATGAAGGTCCTCCATAGCTTTGTTGATAGAGTCGATTTGCCTGAACGGCCACCGCGGCATGCCAAGCTTGCGACATAGTCTCTTGATCATCTGTTCATGCCAAGTGCAACGAGCGCGCGCGAGAGAGAGCATCAGGTTTAGAGAACATGGTTATTATTTGGCACAATAATTTCATCCCAAGCTGCCCTGCGAAGACTTTAGTGACGCTTCTTCTTCTGCTGTGCGACTCCCTCAAAACCAACCGCACCCCCTTTTGCTGCCGTGATCTGCGCGCAACGAACGGCCCTCATCAACGTCGACTTAGCCTACAATCTGCTGCACGCCTTGGGAAAGGTTTCTCGCGCATGAGACACGAAGTAGGGCGGGAGCATCATACAGCGGCGGTCCCCCAACGGTCTGACAGCTATTCTGTGAAATTCTGTGAAATGATTTGTGTCTCTGCTTGCTCCAACTTTGGCAAAGCTCTCATCGTCCCTGCTGATCTACATCAATGTACACAGCAGCTGCCTTCTTCCCTCGTCTCACCGTCAGGCTGACGCCGAGCTCATCGGCGACGGCCATCAGAGGCTGATGGAAGTGCTGCTGTAGGACCTCGATGGTAATGCCTGAAGATTCCTTCTCCTCCTCGACGACACCTGTCGCTCGTGCCGTCGTTGCTGTTGTTGTTGCTGCCTCTAGTGAGGCTCCCATCATGATTTTTCTGCGTGCGTGGGCCGCTGCAGCACGGTGGGTCGCACTCTGCTGCACGCGGAAGCTGCTCCGCCAACCACCTTGTGTGTGGCTCAACACGCTATCGGGGTCGGGGTGCGTCTTTCAGGCTACCTTCGAGTCGAGCTATATGCCTGCCTTGGTGTAAACAGCGAGCGTACAGGACGAAAAAAAAAAAAAACGAGTTTAGCATCGGATCGCATTGTTTGAAAACCCGGGGAAGGAGAGAGAATATCCCCGCTTGTGCCATGCAACACAACCGTCCGTGACCAAAAAAAAAAAAAGAAGCGTGTGGCACCATCACGGGCGTGGCTAGGCCGATCATGGATCAGGTTGCAGAGACGAGACATACACACGAACAAGTTCATTATTGTACAATCAGTTGTTGCGCCGTTCTTGACAAACACACAGCAAAATATTATTTGTAACACGCAATCCAATCAACATCCTGTTTTCTGCAGCGAACGTCGTAAGTAGCGTATGACCGTACTGCTGTTGTGCCACATGTGGGAAAACAGCCCTTTTACTTATTTCTCAGGATGGATCTCGGGCTACAAGACTCGATTAGCCATAGGGTATGGAGGAGCGCATTGAGATGTGTGCATTTTGATGCGGTACAGGGCCCTACATTGGTAGAATATATCTCGTCCAATATAGATACATACAGACATACATGTAGATAGATGTAGATCCTATGCATACCCCCGGCGTATCCACCGCCACGAAAACACGAACCACGCCACCTCGTCGACAAAATAAGCACTGCTGTCGTGGGAGTTGCATGCACATATGATAACACACAGAAGTGGCGTAGTGGCGGAACAACCTATCAAAAGGTTCCTTTCAGCACAAAAAAAACGCGAAAAACACTGCCTCTTTGTGTTGGAGATTCTGAGCCTAAAATAAGAAGGGTGTGGCAAACGGGCCGGCTATTAATATCTTAGACTTTTTTCTGTAGATAAATTAGAGATGGATTTATTGTGTCATAGTAAGAAAAAACAAAAAAGGGAACGCATTTGGTTCTGCTATGCATACAGATACCAAAGAAGTGTATGAGAGTACGCAGTGTACTACATGCTCAAAAACACGAACCGGGCCACCGGACGCGCCCAAACCACAGAGCCAACTGCCAACTAACTGCTGTTAACGGCCCTTTCATTTACGGCCGCTACAGCAGTATGCACACCGACAACGCTGTTTCGGGAACAACAAACCATCAACACAACAGCGGAAGTTGAACTTTTTTCCTCTCTAAAACTTGCGATACAGTCGTAGAACCAACAAAACGATGTTGTTTCTCCCAAGCGGGACTACATGTAGCAAGGAAGAACCTTTTACGCATAGGTACCCGCTGCAAAGAAGAGGGCCGGGGGGGTGGGGGAGGGCAAGGTAGGTCCAACGAAACAATAAATAGAACTCGACCCCAAGCGACACACAGCCTTCCTCTCCCCTGGCGCAAAATACACAAAACACAGAACAGAACAGGAACGCTGAAGGCGTGTGGTACATCACTAAAAAATAAACACCCCGGTCTCGCGCTCGTTAGTCCTCGATCTACCCTTCGCTCTCCGTCTTTCACCTTTCTTTCTCCTTTCCGCGTCCCTCCCTACACGTATTATGATGTTCTCTGTTTGCCTGCCCTGCGCCCTCTAGATAAACCCCGTATCATTACATGTATTTCTGTGGCCGCTCGAGGTTGCGGGGCGGGCAAGACGCCACGCCTTGCGCCCAAGGCGATTCTCAATCAGGAAGTCATACAACACAAGAGCACAACTTTCTCCCGGCGAAGTCTCGCTCCTACTCCCTCCTTGTTTGCCTAGAAGCTGATGACGGCATGGGAGGCATGCATGGCATGCGACGGGCGAATGCATGTATTCAGGAGAAGAAGGTCCGAGCAACCTTGCAAGTGAGCTCGGCCATCCGCTTGGAGTATCCCCACTCGTTATCGTACCAGGCGTAGATCTTCCAGAAGCAGCGACGAAAACCGACGCGCATCGCGAAACGGCGGATGCGACGAGAGAGGAGCAGGGCGGTGGGTATTATTGGCGGAGGCTCATGATTGTTGTTTGCCTTCTCCCTGCCCACGCCTCTGTATCGAGGCAGAGCACCATTCCCAGTCCAACAAACCAGACACCCTCGACCGTTTGGCGCCCCGTTGGTTTCTACAGCACATTCAGTATCCTCTCAGTACTTGGCCAGCCGGTTGGCGCCGCCAGCAGGCTAGCAGCGCATTGGCACCATAAGCAGGCTAGCAGCGCGGTCGATACCACCTCAAAGAAATCACACACACACACAGACACACGCACGCACGCGCGCGCACACCTTCACGCAAGTGCCGTCGACCACCATGGTGCTGCGCGCGTCGACGATACCCGAGCGCTCGTCGTTGGTGTAGTCCGTGGACACGAGGGGGCGGGTCTCGTAGCCCATGATTCCCTTGAGCGGGCCGTCCTCAGATGCGGCCTTCAGCAGCTCGTTCACCTCCATCCCGGTGGTCTCGCGCTTCACCTGAAAAATATTATTGCACAAGAGATAATGGATTCACGAAAGGAAGGAGGACGACCGGCTTGGAGATGAAGAACACACAGGGTGGGCGCAAGTTCGCTTGAAACGGCTGTTATCCCCGGTCGGCTGACTGGAACTGTCTTCCTGGACGGTCCCTCGTGTGAAGGAGGACGGTGGTGTCTCATCAACTGTGAACCAACGCGGGGTTCCTCCGGAACGTTCTTTGGAACACCGAGCATAGTGTATAGGGGAGAGCTCAGTCGATGAAGCACTCGCTTACGCCAACGCTTGTGAGACTCTGTTCGAGATGATGAACCGAGCAAGCCAGACGCTGCTCGTCGTTATTGCAACCCGTTCCTCGTCATGCCGTTTGTTGACTGTCGCTCGCAGTGTCGGCCAATCTCCCGAAACATCGTGCCTCTCAAGAACTCCGAACCACGGCATCAAACACTCACAAGACTTCTTCAATGATGCCATGTCTGCTTTCATTTTGACGCGAAAAAGGGGGACAGCGTTCCTTTCCCTCAATCGTACTGGAGAGGATCTGCAGCAGATGCGTGAAAAGCGTTCGTCGCCAAGATCCGATCTCCAACCTAGCCGACAGCAGGATTTCGACGTTACTATGTATCTCAATACAATACCGGGGCGACCGGGTCACGCTGCTGCAAAGTATCTACAAGAAAGCGGCAGTACACCGCCAACGAGGTGTCGAGAATGAACAACAATCACAACAGCGACCACGTGTTTCTAGCCCGGGCGAAGTTGCAACTTTAACGCGCACCTCGAAAACGCAGTCGGTAATAGATGAGTTGAGCATGGGCACGCGGATGGCGAGGCCGTTAAGCTTCCCCTTCAGCTCCGGGAAGATCGTGGCGATGGCCGTCGCCGACCCGGTGGAGGTAGGGGCAAGGTTGAGCATGCCCGAGCGGCAGCGCCTCAAGTCCTGGGGGTGAGAGGGGGCGGGTCGGGTGTTGGGTCAGGTGGGACTCGACGCGAAGGTCAGGTGTAAGCGGTGTGGGGGGGCGTAGTAGGTTGGAACACGCGTGCGATTTCTGGGCTGGGGTAGTGACGACGGTATACCCTGCAGTGCACAAACGGGCAGACAAGCACGATGTTCCATCCAGCAGCGCCCCCAACAATAAGGGAGACTCGGTGGGGAACTTTGACCGAGCCTATGAATGTGGGTGAATGCTAGCTGGACCCCCCTCATGCTCCCAACTACCTGTCGGTACTCGCATGCCCAAAAAATTGGAGCCCCGCTCTGACGCGACTCATCGCGTGGCAGCAGTCGCAGTAAAGGCAGGTGCAGGGTCACAAAGGTGGGCCACAAAGGTTAGTTCGTCGAGGCCCGCTCATCACTTCTGCCCCGGTGAAGGGAGGAAAAAAACTGCCTTGACCTTGACGGAAATAATGAAAAAGACAACACCAAGGTAGAGACTATTCGTCGGGGTCCAACCCGGCTTCTTCCACGGATGAAGCAACACGTCCTTCTGGCGCCTTGCAGGTCTTCTGTGCCATTATTGCGAAAAAAACGAGGGACCGCAACGTTACGCAGTGTTAAGCCTCCGCAAGTCCCCCCCCGGCCCGTCACTCGTGCATCCACCTTCTTCTTGGTCATTGCCATGTCGATGATGGGCTGAGTTCCGGTAACGTTGTGGATGGTCGTGATGCACCCGTGCGCGATTCCGAGTTTCTCGTGGATGACCTGCCGAGAGAGAGAGAGAGAGAGAGAGAGAGAGAGAGAGAGAGAGAGAGAGAGAGAGAGAGAGAGAGAGAGAGAGAGAGAGAGAGAGCGAAAAGTCGTGGCAGGAGTTATTTCAGTCAGCGGGTAGTACAGGCAGAAGAGGTGTATGCCGGAGCTCAAACAAGAAGCATGTTTACCATCTGCCACGCAGAACGGGCGGCTGGGAGGGGGTGGGGGGGGTGCGGAGAAGGAGAGGGGCGTGGAAGGCGGATTGCTTGTGGCTGACTACGTTGAGGGGCCATCGCGCGGAGGGAAGATCTACTGCATGTGTTGCTCGCAAACTGGACTAACGATTGATCGGATTGGCTTTCGAGGGATACACTGCTTGGTGCATGCGCGCGCGCGGGGGTGGTGGTCGAAGTCCTGTTTTGTCCTGTAGGTCCTCACCTTCACAACGGGTGCCAGGCAGTTGGTGGTGCACGAAGCGGCCGTGCAGATGACGTGCTCGTCCGACAGCAGATCGTCGTTGCAGCCCATCACCACGTTCAGGACGCCCTCCTGCACCGACAACCACAAATTGCAGAGTTAACAACAACAACAACAGCAGCAAAATGAAACATGGCCGGAAGAGGCAGAGCGCAAACACAAATCACGCTTGTTTCAGGACGATAAACGCGCACTTTGACAAAAATCCTGCTCATGGTACCGGCCGGCCAGGGTAAAGTTTTTCGGAGCGTTCTTCTCCGGGATATTCCTGTAAACATACGCCGCGCGTCATACTGAAGGGTACCTCTTTGACCGGGGCGGAGACGACGACCCTCTTCACGCCTCCGTCGAAGTACGGCTGTAGCTTCTCCTTCGTCAAGAACACACCCTTGCAACCGAGAGGTGAGGGAGAGAGCACAGACCAACAAGAGAGCGGGGGGGGGGGGGGGGGGGCCCGGGAGAAGGCCCCCCCCAAAAATTTTCCCCTTTCTGGGGTTTAAAAAAAATCCCCCCCCCCCCCCCCCCCCCCCTTTAAA